TACTTAATTTTTGGAATCCCCAACCTTTTTATTTTGGATGAGAAGCCTATTTAAAATTGAATTCATACTCTTCAATTTTGAAAACAAATTTAGACGATATTCACAAAAACTCAAACCCACGACTAGTAGGTTATGACAGGACCTCAATATTCCTCACTAAACTAAGGACGTCATTAACTGTATTTTAAAATTTTTTTTTAAAAAAGAAAAAGGCAAGGTTGCGTGTTGGGAATATTTTTGATAGGATGATTACATATTCATGTTCATAGTCATCTTAGTAATGAGTAGCCCAGGATGAATGAGAAAACAGACTCCAGAATCCACATGATCCTCGTGGGTCCTCTGATTTTCGTTGTAGCCCGTGGGCCTCTCTATTCGGAATTCATCCATATCAAGATAGCAATGTAGTCAAGGAGACAAAACCAAACCGTAGCTGTGAAGATTGTAGGGGAAATGGAAGAAGATGATAAAGACAACTTTGATTTTAAGCAAGGTAAAAATCACGAGCTATCAATTAAGTTACTACTAAGGGAATGTAAAATATAATAATATCTACAAAATCACCTTTCTTTTATAGAATTTTAATAGTTAAAGTGATTTTATTATTAATAAAGAGTTTCACATCCTCATAACCAGAGTTTAAATCTGTATTTTTCCTTCACCATCTCCTTCTCTCATAGGACTGAATCACTTGTTTTAGTAGATAAAAAAATGAATTACCCTATTTAAAAAAAAAAAAAAAATAAGGAAGAAGGAGAGAGAGTACGGTCCATCTCTAGACTCAGTCCAATCCGTGATCTCATCCAATAGAGCCGCAAAAAACCAGCCCGACCAGACAATATGATGTGCGGTAGCCAGCAGCCCATCTAAATACAGGTCAGAGCTGGACATTGTTGGTCTGTGACTTATTGATAACCAGACCCATGTGAAACGTTTATATCTTGGTAAATAAATTTAAAAAGTACATTAATTTATAATTAATAAAAAAAACACTTGATCATTTATTTTTTTGGTAATTAAAAAAACACTTGACCATTGAAAAATGCAATAATGCCTGGAAATCGTAAAAGAAAAAAAAAAATTATCATCAATAAAAGAAAGAACTTGATATTAAAGTCACAACTAAACCCAATATTGGCCTTCTTCTTTTTTTAACCGCAGTGGCAAAACAGTATATGATTCTTGTTTTCCGTTGGAACTATATCAAATTATTTTTTCAAACAAAAAACGGCATTATGCAAGGCAATGTAGGGTTTATTTTTAACAAAAAAAATATTATACAATTTAAAATATATTAAACTATATAATTTAAATTATTAAATAAAAAATAAATACCTAATATTAGAACTGTTTTTCATCTTACAATTCAACTTTTACTGTTTATTCCATAGAAAACGAAATACCCTCCTAATTAATCTTGAATTTTAATTTTTCTTCTTCTTAATTACAAGGTTAAAACTTCATTTTGATCCTTGAATTATTGTATAGAACCTTGATTTGGTCCCTAAACAAAAAAAATCTTTAATTTCGTCTTTACTGTTTATCATTTTAACCTCAATTTTGTTCTTTCATTAAATTTTTCACGTTAATTGACTAAAGAAACATAAAATTTGACAGGTTGACAAAAATAAATAACATAGTATTCCAACTTGTCCCACCAAAAAAAAAAAATTCCCTTTTTTAGTGTTTTTTCTTTTTCTTTTTTTTCTTTTTTTTTCGTTTCTCCCTTTCCTCGTCCCTTTCTTCAACTTCTACAAATCCTAACATCTTAACCAATCTCTCTCCTTATTGGTTTCTTCATCATTATCATCAAATAACAACACCCACAAACAAAACAAAAAAAACAAAATTTTTTTTTTCTAATTTTTCACCATTGGGTTCGTTGAAACCCAACACTTGGGTTCGAAAGAACTTAGGCTTGGGTTCCATCAAATTAAGAGTGCTAGGTTCAAAGGAACCCACGCTTGGGTTCCATTGAACCAAGCAGCTGTTGGGTTTTAAGGGGAGAGAAAAAATGAAAGAGAAGAAAAAAAATATAATAAAGAATTTTTTATTTTTTTATCATATTATTGTTTTTTTTTCATATTATTATTTTTTTGTCATATTGTATTTCCACGTGTATTAAAAATTGACATATCATCATGTAATAGTGAATTAACATATTTTTAATAGAAGGATCAAATCGAGGTTAATACTAAACAATAAAGATCAAATCAAAAATTTTTTAATTTAGAAACTAAATAAAGAGTTCATACAATAATTTAACGACCAAAATGAAATTTTAACCTAATTACAATTATGAGTTTCTGACCGTAACCCCCCGCCCACACCAATGTGAACTATGAAGGGTAATGCACGACGACACGTGGGCTTTTTTGCTTCTTACAATTTCGCCCTAAGCATTTTCTTTATAAGCAGAACAATGTAAAAAGTCAGAGAGCCTCATTAAAAGAAGAAAAAAAAAGTCAGACCGTCATACTCATCCCCATTGAAAACAACTGGTTTATCTTTCCCATAGGAGATTAGTCAATTGGAACCATCATCCTCAACCGAATTAAGAGAAATCTACAAAAGTTGCGTTCCATGCACTACAGCCGTCCACGTGTCACGACAGGCAGATCTCGCCGATAAATATCTAGTACTGGTAAATGGGAAATTGATGATGATCTGACGACGGCCGTAAAGTGCCCTGTTCAGATCGGGGATAGTTACTACC